CCATAAGATCATGACCTGAGCCGAAGTTGGACGCTCAACCGACTGAGCCACCCAGGCGCCCCAGGAGTAAAAGATTTTTAAAACCGTGTCAGCCTCTATTAGGTTCCTCCACTCTTTCTCACTGATTAAGCAGAGTCAGGTGATGATATCTATATTCTTCCCCAACAGAGCCGTGTGTGAAACAAGTGCTTCCCCCCTGCCAGGATGATCCATCTGAGCTCAGCAGAGTCCTGTGGAAACAGGGCCCTGGAAGACAGACCAACACACGGGGAAGTGAACCTGGCTCTGCTATCCACAGAGTATTCTTAGACGCCACTTGCAGAGTTCTTCACAAAGGCAGTGTGGGATCGATTTGTAATTGGTAGCAATGCACGCCATTTGGGAATGAAGACTGCAGACATCCATCCAAAAGGTAGGCAAAGCTTGTGAACGGCTCTTAAAAATTGCCAGTGTACTTACAGTTTTCTCATTATTTTCAAAAGCTTCTCTTGCTTCTTCAAATGTGCAGATTTCTTCTTTGCATTCACGTTCAATGTTGCCCTGTCTTATTTCTTCAAAAAGTCCATTAGCTCTTGGGTAGCGTTTCAATACTGAATTGGCTTTTTCTCCTGTGAGGAAAACTAAGGAGAGAGAAAATAATAAGCATAAAATTATAATTTAAAAAAACACGTGGAAACTTCATACACAAGGTGAAAACGGCTGGGTGCTCTTTAGAAACCACAGCCAACATCCTAAACCTCTTCCAGTGAGTCAGCAACAAAGTAACATTTAGCTCCAAACCACCACCTCTGCTGTCTTCCTCATCACATGAGCATGTCCTTTCAGTAGCAGTTGCCCTGGGCAGGGACAGTGACATAATTAGCTGTTAGATTCAGACTTTAGCACATTCCTGCCAACCATCGGCGTTTAAATATAGTAATAGCGATTCCACTGCTTATACTCACTGTTGTAAGTAGATTACCTCCCGGGCATTCTGCTGTTGCACAGCAGCAACCAAATCAAAATCCAGTCTCCAGACTACCAGTCTTTGTCCCTCTAAATAAACCTAAATAAAGCTGCAACTGACCTAGCAACATAAACCCAGAGAACCCCTGCTTGTATGAAGGGAAGGGATGACAAAATAGCATCAAGAAATCAAGATAAATTTGGCCATAATTCATTCCAAGGAACACTAATTATTTTGTTCTAAGTACACTTAAAGTAAATATATTGTGATATTTTAACATATTTAACCCAATTTCACTGTCCTACAGAAAAAAAAAAAAAGAAAATTCTTCTGCATAAACACTAGAGACATTTCATATAAACACTCAAAATGCACATTTATGATACCCAGTAAAATAAATAAGGCACTAGTTATATGTATACTTATGGGGAATTATTTCTATTTTAACATACAGATTCATTTTATTTTTTTAATTTTTACATTTATTCATTTTTGACAGACAGAGAGAGACAGAGTGTGAGCGGGGAGGGACAGAGAGAGAGGGAGACAGAGAATCGGAAGCAAGCTCCAGTCTCTGAGCTGTCAGCAGAGAGCCCGACGCAGGGCCAGAACTCACAAACCGCGAGATCAAGACTTGAGCCAAAGTCAGATGCCTAACCAACTGAGCCACCCAGGTGCCCCATACAGATTCATTTTAAACTATACTTCAATTTCACTTTTCTAAAAGTGTCATACTTGTTCATCTAAATAAAATGCTACAAGAATTTAATCTCTGCTAATGCAAAGAAACCAGAAAACTCTCTAATCTTACTGACTTCTAACATAAGAGAAGGCATATTACAGATAATTTTAAGATATTAAAGAAAAGTCTATATTTTACAAAGAACATTTTGAAGTAAATGAAAAATGAAAAACAGTTAAGTGCTCCTTTAAAGATGGCAACAATAGGGGTTCCCAGGGTGGCTCAGTCAGTTGAGCATCCAACTCTTGATTTCAGTTCAGGTCATGATCTTGCAGTGTGAGTTCGAGCTCTGCATCAGGCTCTGTACTGACAGTGAGGAGCCTGCGTGGATTCTCTCTCTCCTCCTCTCTCTCTACCCCTACCCCGCTCACTCTGTCTCTCTCAAAATAAATAAACTTAAAAAAAATTGTTTTTAAATGGCAACAATAGCAATGAATTTAAGGTTTACCTCATTATAGAAATGTGTATTTCACTTTACAGAAGATATGGATTCATTACTTAGGATTCTTCAAAGTATCCAAATTGATACCAGATCGAAAACTATGAGCGGGCTTTCATAAGACTTTCCTTCCTTCTACACCTCAGAAAGATAACTATCTATAACAATGAATTATAGAGTCCTAGAATATCATTAAGAAGAAACTGTAAAAAATAAAAGTTGTGGCAAGTGCTAGAAATGAAACTAAAAGGGTGCTCTGAGTTGGAAAATAGCAGTGAAATTTTTTAGCACTACTTCTCACAGTGGCAGCATGACAATTCCCTGCACGAATTAAGTCATACAGATTGCTGGGCCCACCTCCCATAGTTTCTGATTCTGCAGGTCTGGGGTGGGGCTAAGAAGCTGTATTTCTCATAAGTTGCCAGGTAATGCTGATGCTGCTGGTCTCACTACCATAGTCTGAGAACCACTACCGAAATGTGAGCTTCTTAGAAAACTAGTTCTGAGGAAGGTGTTTATGGAATGTTGGGATTAACAAATTTAACAAATCTGTTACTGTGTGACTTTTGAGGGTCCTTAATATATATTTAATCTGTATCTGCAAATCTCCAAAAAAGGAATACATTTGTCATATTTATTTGAATACAGGCTCCTCTGAGCCCTTTATCAAAGGACACTTCACTGAATTAACAACTTCCTAGCCATTGGTTATGCCCTCTGAAATGACATACAATTCTCTTCCATGTAACAGGTCACCTAATACATGAAGATGGTAAATGATTTCCCCTGAAGTTTCTCTTTTCCAGGATAAACAGGTCTAGTTTCTTCATGTGTTGGGCACATAAAATGGACAGGAGTCTCTGCACTATCTTTATCTCATAAAATACAGTGTCCTACACTCAGTGCAATACTCCATAACATTCCTTGTTTTTAAACACAATGTATTAATACAGTCTAAGATATCCCTGGCTTTTGGGACAGTTTTCTTTAAAATAAGCCAATCAATCAACAACAATGTATTTTAAGATTTTTTAAGAGAAAAAACAAAATTCTGCTCAGAGAAAACTTTCTTTTATGCTATCTACATGGAAAAGGGGGTCAAGGAAAGCAGGTAACTCTTGTAGCCAGAAAGCAGGCTAATTCAGAAGGTTAAACAACTAACTGTAAGTAAACCTATAGTAGGACACAGCTCTTCTAACCCCAGTCTAATCAAATTACCAAGAACATTCCACAAACACATTCTGTGTATTTCTTGTACTGAGAGGCAAAGTAATATAATACTCAGAACTCTAGAATAAGCTGGCGAGTAAATTTTATGTTACTTGCCAAATCTGGTCAATTAGAAGATACTACCTGGAATAAGAATCTGACCCATAGGAAAGACACTTATAGATTAGTTACGTCTGCCATATGCTAGGGAACAGAAAATTATGGTAGGGCCTCATCAAAGCAATTTGGAAATCTAATGAACGATACCAGAATTAAGATTTTTTCAATGTGGAAACAAAATATAAAGGAGAAGGTGGCAGCTTGGACCTATAGGAGAAGATCAGACTATCTTTTCCGAAAATACTGGGCATTTCCTGTGATGCAAGGGATTGTATTTGGACTTCAAAAACTAAGGCAGTGATGTTTAAAACTAAAGTTGACCACTTCCCTCTGCCTCCTTCTCATCAAAGGGTGTGAGTCAGCCCACAGCTGTCCAGAATCATGTGTATGCCTGTATCAGAGATTAAATAATGTGACAAGTATACAGAATGAGAACACAACACTGAGGTGTTATTCAAACATGTAATTTTCTCATTAAAGGAAATAAAGAAAAACCTAAAATGTATTCTTTAGGTTCAGCTGGGAAAAAGCCTTACTAAAGAAAACATTTAAATGTAAGACTGACACATTCACACCCACCAAATAAGTATATTTATCTTAAAAATGTAACTACTTTTTCATGATTTCAAAACTAATAGCTCTCACCTCTGCTTTCTCTTCAAAAGAAAAGAATAAAAATAAATGAGAATGGCTAATGTAACTACCTATATTACTGCCTTAAATAAAAGAGGTAGTTGTAGAATATATTTCTTAATGCATTGTAGGATACTAAAACTGATATTTTAATGCCAAAAATCTTTAGCCAAGTGCAGTCACGTACAAAGATTTCCTGAAAAACAGCAGATGATAAAGCCTGAAAGTTAAGAACCACCTTTGAAAAATCTCTACTCCAATTATCTAATCAGTTCTTTCACCTTGGGTCTGATTTTGCTAAAGGAACCACTATTTAACATTACAAATGTTGACATTTTTCTCTTAGGTGAACAAAATTCTTTTTCTTAGGAAATATTTACTGAATACAGACTATGTACAAGGAGATCATAGCAAGTTACAAAAATGACTAGCAGAGGCCTCTGCCCACAAGGTTCTTCAGTGTAAACGATAATGAAGATAAAAGAGATATACCAAGAACTCTAATACAAGACTAACCATGGTGGATGCTCCTCAAGGTGAGAAAGCAGGCATAGTTCTATTGGGTAGGTATGTTTAGATGACCTAAAGGACCCCTGCAAAGCTTTTTTGGTCTGGCCTTTTAAGGACTGGTAAGATTGGGATGTGCAAAGATGGTGAGGAAAGACATCCTAGGAAAACAAAACAGTGCGAGGGCTTGGAACTGAATAAAACAAGGGACATAAATAAGGAACAGGGAGTGGTCAATAAGTGCAGAGTGTAAGAATCAAAATGGGAAGTGAAAAATAAAATTGGAAATGGGGGCCAATAGCCATATCATGGAGGCACTTAATATTAAGCTAAAATATTCAAACTATTTGATGGCATTCAAGATTTTAGACCAATACTTCATTACTTAGAAAAATGTATAAATACAACAGATTTATGGGTAGGTTGAAGAGAAAATTCAAGGGAGAGAGGCTAGGTAAGAGGCTGCTGACAAGAGACCAGACTGAGAAATAATGAGGCCATGTGTTAGAACGGTGGCAACAGGAATGGAAAGAAGGGGAAAGATAGGAAAGACATGGCTATTGGGCAATTTCTTCAGCCACTACACCTACCATGCACCTTATCCCTCCATTCAAACCAAATCTTACTATTCTCCATTTGTTTCATGCCTAATTGTGTACTAATATTTCATCTGCTTAATGAACTCCTATTCTATTCAGATGTAACAGCCTCTAAAAACTTTCTCCAGGTTCTACTATCCGCGTCATTAGACAGAGGTGCTACAGACTCTAGGTATTTGCATATAACTCAATTACAGCAAGTAATTAAACTATATTATTATTTTTGATATGCCTATCAAAACTCAAGACTGTAAGCTTCCTGAGAGGAGAGTCTGTGTATTATTAATATTTTGATCCAACCAGTCTTTCATAATACCTGGTAAAGAACTTGGTAAGAATAGAATTTGATAAGCGTCAAATAAATGAAAACGCACAATGGGAGGAGCTTTAAGACTAAGTCACTAGAAGCTGAGAAACCATGGACTGTGTCTCT